TGATGTCAGCAGTTGTCAATGCCGGCCATCAGTAGCACCTTCTTGGGATAGGGGCCTAGAGGCCGCCAGTGCTCCTTGGGTGGGGATAGGCGCACCAGCACAGAGCCACAGCACCTGTCCCCCTGCATGGATGACATGGGGCTTACCCATTTCGTTCCCATCAGCCTTGCCACTGGGGGATGACAGACAGCTCGCAGGATAATGGCGCCATGGATGACATGGATGCCTCCTGGAGCACTTAACATCCATATCCACACGTCCCTGGTAATCCACGATGGGGACAAATGCCTTGAGCCTAGTCTGCTGGCCAGCTCGGGTCTGCTTTCGCACCCACATAATCTTCAAAACCTCGTCCAGAAGGGACACCCCAGGAGCAAGTCACTGACCTCAGATTCCTTGATGGGCAGGAGAAGGAATGGATCTCCTCTAGGGACTGGATCTTCATGTCCCTGACCAGGCGGCCCACCTTAGTGACAGGGATCCACTCCTTGTCCTCGAGCTTGCCTCTGCGAGCTCTGTGGCCTCAGCCCCCACCCAGAACGCTGCTGCCAGAAACCTGCGTGCAAGCCGCCACTGCCTCCCATTCCAGGGACCCCGGAGCATCCCGGACCTCTGGGAGTGTCCTGGCCCCCGGGAGCATCTGGGGCTCCTAGGAACATCTGGGAACATCCCAGCCTCCAGGAACATCTGGGAACATCTGTGGGCCCCCCAGGAGCATCTTGGAGTGCGGTGGACCTCTGGGAGCATCCTGGCCTCCAGGAACATCACGGGCCTCTAGGAGCATTGGGGCCGGGGCGGGGCGGGGGGAGGGTGAGGATCATCCAGGGCCTCCAGGAGCATCTGGGGACTCCGGGGGCTTCCAGGACATTACGCAGCACCTGCGTCATCGGCCGTTTATTGTTTGTTCAAAGTGGACTTCCCTCTTCCTATAGAGTCTAATTTCTTCAGTTGCAACTGGGGAGGTGAGGTTGTCCTTGCTCCGGTTTCTCATTTGGTACACTGGAGTCCGAAATAAAGCTAATAGAGGAAAGTCTCTGCACAGGAGTTTCATTTGACCTGGTTTGCCCACCACGGCCCCTGATTCTTATTTGTAAGAGACACGTGGAATACACCCAATTCACTTAGTCTTTCATTAAATACACTATGGATTGGGGTAATTCTCTTACTCTATTTTCATTCTTTCTCTCTCTCTCCTCACTGCAGCCCTCATCCCATCTGCTTGTTCAGTTGATGCTGAAATGGGTTGAATTACTTATTTAACAGCCTACATGATATTTGTGCTTAAAAACTCACAAGGTAAAAAAAAAAAAAAAGAAGGTAATTATGAACGTTAAGAATACAAAATTTAAACAGAAGAAATTTAGAGAGAGGAATTTTACCTCCTGGGTGATATTAGTTGTTCCTGAGGCGTGAGAAGGACAAAGGGGCCTGTTGAGGCTTCTCGCTCATGGCTGGAAACACCTGCAGGCCACTAGGAAAGAACCTATTTTAACGGGCTTCATCCAAACCTGTTTTCAGTCTAATTTTTTTTTAATTCCTGTGTTTTAATTTACCCATTTTCAAGCTGCATCTAATAAACTGTGGGTAGTAGAAATAAGAGGCAGTGCCTAATTCAATGCTAATTCCCGAGAGATTTAAAAAAAAAAAAATTGTCAAGAATAGGTGGAATTTTGTTATTTTTTACAGTTACAAGAAACAAATGACCCACTTCCAAGATACTTTTAGATCAGATTTAAAACATTAAAATCTTTTCTATTTCCAAGCATTTTGCTTAGTTACTTTTCTGGGCAAAATTTCAGGATTTTGTAGCATATTTAAAACTCCCATGACCCCAATTTCACTTTCTTTAGTTACTTAATTGACTTTTTAAAAAATTTGGTGCCAGTTCTTACTTGGCAGAATCTATATATCATTCCTAGCCAATTCTTTATTTTCCAATATTCTCTGGATTAGAGTAGGATTGTCAGATTTAGCAAATCAAAATGCAGAATGCCCAGTTAAACTAGAATTTCAGATAAACAACAAGTATTTTTTCAGTCTAATACTTTCCATGGTATATTCGGGACAGATTTATACACTCTACGGGAGAAGTCTGCCTTTGCCTGTTCCAGCTTCTTATAGAGCCAGGCGTTCCTTGGCTTGTGGCTGCATAACTGCAATCTCTGCCTCTGTCTTCACTAACATTTTCCTCTATTTCTCAAATCTCCCCTCGTCTTTACAAGGACAGAGGTCATTGGATTTAGAGCCCACCAACTTAATCCAAGATGATCTCATCTCAAGATCCTTTACCTAATTAAGTCTGCAAAGACTCTTTTTCAAATAAGGTCACATTCACAGGGTCCAGGTATTAGGACATAAACATAACTTTTTGGGAGGCCGCCATTCAAGCTACTACAGAGAATGGCCATAACTTCAAACACAAACTGAGGCTGATAAATTCACGGCTCGGGTGTAACATGTACACCCAAGTCAGATGTGAAGCTAAAGGAGGCAAATCCAAGGTTCTTTTTACTGGATTTTTCCACCATAGGTACCAGATTCTTATTTGTAAGAGACATATGAAATCCACCGAATTCATTTAGTCACTCATTCAACAGACATTTATTGAGTTCTTATGTGCCAGAGTGTGAAAATCAGGGGTAAATCAGACTGCTTCCTGACGATTACTTACTGCTGAGAGGAACCAATCAATCAATCAATCAATAAGTAAGGAAAGAGGATTGTTATATAATTTCATAGGTGCCATGAAGGAAATAAACAAGGGCATGGGATAAAGAGTAACAGGGAACAAGACACGCTGCTTAGAAAGGGCAGGCAGGAAACATTCTCAGAATAGACGACATTTGCGCCTAGTGCCAAGAGATGAGGGTGAGCCAGCCATGTAGAGATCCCAGCGAAAAGTCTTTCCAGGACAAGGAATGGTGGGTTTAAAGGCTTGAGGTCAGGAAGGGATCAGCATCCTCTAGAAAAAATTGGAAGCCTTAGTGGCCAGAACATAATGACCAGGCGAAAGTGTGGTATGAGAATGGGGCATCATTCATTGCTGGGTCTTATGGCTCATGGTGAGGAGTTTAGACTTTATTCTGTGGAAATAAGATGACATTAAAGGGCTTAAAAAGAAGAGTGATGAGATTTGGTTTATACATCTAAAATTCAGTGACTTAGGTAAGGAATGGCTTAGTGAAGCAAGAGTGGAAGCAGGGCCAGCCCACTTCAGCAGCCCGGGGTCCACCAGTTCAGATACTGGGTGCCGACATGGCAACAGTTGTCAAGCCATGCTATGGTAGGCACCCCACATATAAAGTAGAGGAAGATGGGCATGGATGTTAGCTCAGGGCCAGTCTTCCTCAGCAAAAAGAGGAGGATTGGCAGCAGATGTTAGCTAAGGGCTAATCTTCCTCAAAAACAGAAAAAAAGAGTAGAAGCAAGCAGACCAGTTTGGTGATTGTAGTGGGCCAGGCAAGGGATGTAGAGTGTTGTTAGGAATATGGAGAATAATGGAAAGCGTTTGGAAGTCAAACTATCAGAACTCACGTATAGATTACACACTGATGGTGGGAGAGAGAAGAGGAAAGGACGACACCACCAATTTTAGGGCACAAATCTTCACAGCTAGACACCACATTACCCAACGTTTCTTGCAGTAAAGCGTGACTATGTAAGTTCACAAGGGGATGTGAATGGAAGTGATGTGAGCACCCTCTGGGTCACATCCACACAAAAAAGAGGCTTGCCTTTCATTCCCTCTTTCACGCCTCTTGATGGCTGGGAGATGGGACACTTAAAGGAGCTGCCTTAGATCTAGAGAAAGAAGCCACATGTTGATGATGCCAAAGCCGTCCCATGATCCAGGATCCTTGGATGGCCTCACTGATGGGGGCCTGCTACCTGCCCTGGACTGCCCGCCTGCTTTACTCTCTGTTACGTGAGAGAGAAATAAGATTCTGTCTCATTTAAACCCCTATATTTTGGGGGTTTTCTGTAGGAACAGCTCAGCTTATATCCTAAATAATGCTCTCAAGAATGGCTGCAAGAATCCCAAACTGACGTTTTCTCTAACCCAAATGTTTTGTGCATTATATTCTCTTTCTTGCTTCCTGTCAAGATGTGGGTTACGCTGCTCTCTGTGATATCGAGGGCCAGAGTATGGGGAGTCATTTAAAGCCATGTGGGTGGAAACAGTTCCTTCCTCCGCAGAGTCCAAAGTAAGGACTCCCTGTCGCTCCATGTCTTGCACAATGCGCTAAATATCACCTGAGGTTCAGATAATGATGGGCGTTAACTGTTCAAACATTCTATACTAAATGTTGTGTGGATTACACAGGGGCCTAATGCTCAAGTTAAGATTTGTAAATTAGGGATAGATATTGAACATCTGCCTAGGAATTCTATTAGGAGCATGGATCTCAGAACTCACAACATTAACTATAAGAAATACATTAACATTTAGTGAAAAAAATTATGTAAATTGTGTAATTGCATACTTACTTTTTTCTTGGTTCTTGGCTTAAATTCTAATATGAAATGAATCCTTTGGGTTAACTTTAGCTGCATTCAGAGGACATACAATTTATAATTACTTTTCTACGCCTAGGATTTTTTTTTTTAATTGAACGTAAGTTAAACACACACACACAAATCTACGCCATGCCTGCTCTCGGGGGTGGGAATACCAAGAATGATAAGAATTATCACTTTCACTGTGGGAGAGAGTATGGCAGTTCCTCAAAAAATTAAAAATAGAACTACCATACGACCCAGCAACACCACTTCTGGGTATTATCTGAAAAAACTGAAAACACTAATTCAAAAAGATATATGCACCCCTATGTTCATTGCAGCATTATTTACAATAGCCTAAACATGGAATCAACCTAAGTGTCCATTGGTAAATGAATGGATAAAGACGTGGAATATATATAAAATAGAATCTTACTCAGCCAGAGAAAAGAATGAAACCCTCCCATTTGCAACAACATGGGCGGATCTAGATGGTATTATGCTAAGTGAAATGAGACAGACAGAGGAAAAAGAATACTGTATGATTTCACTTATATGTGGAATCTAAAATAACAGCAACCACAACAACAAATGAGCAAACCAAACAAAACGGAAACAGACTCATAGATACAGAGAACAAATTGGTGGTTGCCAGAGGGGGAAAGGGCAAAACAGGGGAAGGGGACCAAGAGGTACAAACTTCCAGTCATAAAATAAATAAGTCATGGGGATGTAATGGACAGCATAAGGAATATAGTCAACAATATTGTCATTACTTTGTATGATGACAGGTGGTTTCTATTCTCAGCAGGGTGATCATTTTGTAACGTACATAAATGTTGAATCACTATGTTGTACACTCGAAACTAATATAATATTGTATGTCAACTATACTTCAATAAAAAAAGAATTGTCCCTTTGAAAACAAGGAAAATCACAACATTTAAGGTACACCAAGGCACATTTTAAGTCTGTATTTTGGCTTACATTGTATTAAACAATACATAATGTCCTGTTGAATATTTGAAATTATTAAATATAATAAAATTAATGAACATAAGATGTTTTAATCTAATTATGCCAGGGTCTAACTAAAAATTAACCCTTAAATATCTTTTTCAAGTAGAATGTTCCTCAAAGGATAGTACCATGTCTAATTAATATTTTAAAATATTGCCTAATATTTAAACTTTACAGTTGAAAAGAGGCCTTGTCTATTTCATCTGATCTTTACAATAATCCTAAAGGTATCATTATCATTCACCTTTTGGAAGATAAAACATTCATGAGGGTCTGTGAATTGCCCAAATTCACTCATCTGGCAAATAGGAAAGTCTGGGCTTATAACATCTTTTAATTCTAAGTTCAGTGCTCTAAATACTCAACTCCATGCTTGATGTCTAGAAGGACCCAGCACCTAACGAAGTATCTTGCCACTGTGGATAATTTTTTGTAATTAAAGTAGGAAATGCAGTTACTGACTATATTTTCTATTCGTTAAAACCTTCTTAAATTATACACATGCTAAGGAATTAAATACGTATAAATAGAAAAAATAAAAGTGTACTCTTTTAATGGTCCTAATCTTTATCTCACCCCTACTTTGGCCACTCCAAACTAGTCTTCCACCATAACTTTGAGAACTATGAAATTCACAGACAAATACTTCCCTTCTTCCCATCTCTCTACTTCTCCCATTAAACATCCTCCCTGTCTTCACTAAGTCGTTTGATCCCTTGGCTCCTTCCAGTTCTCCTAGACCAATAATCCCAACTTGGCTCCTTTCACTTCTCTACCCAGCCTGGGCCTCGCCATCAGTCACTTTCACACAGCATTGTCCACTCAGTACCATACTGGTTGCTCTCCATCTCTTGACTCTCAGTAGTTCTCATTGTGCTGATTCCCACGGTTCACTTTTTCTAATCCAACTTCCAGAGAACCAGTGTTATTGCAAAAAGTTGCAAAGCTGTGACAATTTATTCACCATGAATTCATAGCATCTAGTCTTAGCTTTTGGTTCAGCTTATTTGACAGACAACAAACATTTGTGGAGCACTTTCATGATGCCAACTATTGTGCTATGATTTTAGGATACAAAAGGAATAACATAGGCTCCCTGTTCTGGAAGAATTTATAGTCTCCTGTACCCACCTAAAAATTCTTTGGAAACTCTTCCACTTTCAAGCCTACTCCTCACTTTCATCATAAATCTTAGTCTCCCATTTTACCAAAAAATATTGACATCGCTAACATGAGCATCTTCAAAACCCTTCCACTCCATCCTGAATCTATGTATCAGTCAGGGTTCTCCAGAGAAACAGAACCAGTAGGATGTGTATATATTGTTGGAGGAGGTCATTGAGAGGATGTGACTGCCAGGTGACCCTCAAGCTAGGCTCGAGCCATCAGAGGCGCCTTACCCTGCCCCCATCCTTGGAATGTATGGTGTACCCACTATTCTTACACTAGGAGCCACTTCAAGAATGCAGCCTTGAGAGACCAATGTGTAATTGAGACCATCTGGACTGTGACTGAACTCTGTTAAGGCCTCTGCATAAACTTTAAGATTCTGGCAGGTGGGTGCAGAGATCTACTCTTCTTGAGCCCACCCAAGACAAGCCTCATAAGTAGGTTTCTTTGCATATTAAACCTGACATCTACCAAGCTGGAGTGGTCTGCCTCTTTCTTCGGTCTTTCCTTGCCCTCTGTATATGAGGACCAGCTACAGATTTCACCCAGGGAAACGCCCAAGGTTGCAAACCAACAGATAGAGAGAGAATGAGATTTATTTTGAGGAATTAGTTTACACATTTGTGGGACTGGCAAGTCCAAATTTTGCAGAGCAGGCCAACAGGCTGAAGACCCAGGGAAGAGTTGATGTTGCAGGTCAAGTCCAAAAGCAGTCTGGAAGCAGAATTCCTTCTTTCTTGGGGAACCTCAGTCTTTGCTCTTAAGGCCTGCAACTGATTGGATGAGGCCCACCCACCTTATGAAAAGCAATCTGTTTTACTTAGAGTTTGCAGATTTAAATGTTAATCGCAACTAAAAGAATACCTTCACGACAAAATCTAGAATGGTGTTTGACCAAACAATTGGGTACCATAGCCTGGCCAAGTTGACACATAAAATTAGCCATCACAATTCCTAATTATGAATTATCTTCTTAAGTCTTTCTTACCTCACTTTAGTCTCTCAAGAGGCGTTCTGCTTCCTTGCTAATGCTAACCCCTCCACAGGAGCTCTTGACCTCCCCTCTTCTGTCTCCTCCAAGAATTTTTCACAATCATTCCTTCTCTCTTGTCTCATCAATCTCTCCATTCTCACTGGCTTCTTCCTCTGGTAGACATGCTCAAGTCTGCTCTCGCTGCTAATCCACTCTCTAGCTACTATGCTTTGCTCTCCTTAACTTCACTATCAAGTTTCCTGCAAAATTAGTCGATCTGCATTTGCTGCGCTTACTAACCACCCACTCACTCTTACTTTGCTCTCTGGCTTCAGTTCCCATGACTTTTTGAACCCGCTCCCTCTTCCTATTGGGCTACTGTAGAGCCATTCTTACCTACCTCCCACCTGTCTCCGAGCCTCACTTACCACAAGGTCAATCGAGGGAAGAACTACCATCAAGAGATGTTCTGCAGGAATGAGGAGGACAGGAAAGGGATAAATGACATAGAACTTCAAACTCGACAAAGCTTGATGATATTGCACTAATTAGCACCATTTGTACTAAATATTGCTTGCTATCAGGAAGAGAAGCAATCTTTCAGTCCCTGAGTTAATCTTTCAAAGAGATTACAGAATATAAATTTTGTAGAGTTACTTACAAATTATAGCTGTGACAAGTTGAACATCTTTGCATATGAGGTTTTTCCAAAGTGTAATTATAGCTGATTGACGACCAGCTGAGCATCTGTGTCCAATAATAGACAGAGCTGGTCCAGACTGAGGAAAATCTACCCAGAAAATACCAAGGTTAGAAATATTCCTAATTAATGTATAGTCATCTCAACTGTAACAAAAATGCATGAATAGGAGTATCTCTGAGAATAAGCATATTATTATAGTAACCTATTTAAGTAGAAAGATACATTAAAAACAAAATAACTATTGCTTCTCCCAAAAGACATGAGATCACAAACATTAAGGAGAAGCCTGGCTTGCATGGGAAGATTCAAGAGTTGCTGAAATCCCCACAGATGCAGTTAATTTTTTCTTTCCACTTTGAAGTTAGTGGGACAATCAGAATGAGACAAAGCTCACTCCCAAGTTGTTCTAGAAAGGGGAACCATTAGATGAGATAACCTGATAGCAGGAAATGTGCCTTAAGCTAACAGACATCCAAATTCATTGCGGAAGTACGGCAAAGAGATATTTATGAATGCCTCGGCAAAATGAAACCATTTTACTCAACCCATTCTGTTTCGGGGGATGTGGCTTGAAACAGCTAGGTCTTTGCAAATGAATAATTTATGAAAGCTCCTGTACCCTTTGAATAACATAATTTAAACTGAAGTCATTACTGAATAAAAGGAAAAAGAAGCACTCACTTCAAATTCTTCTAATTTCGACAAGAATTATCACATAGTTTTGATTGAAGGTAATCTAATAACAATTTTAGTTCCTTGCACCAGGCCCAGATAAATCTCTGCTTAAGCAGTTGAAATCCAGCACAGAAGTTAGAATTCAAAGGAGCTTAGCTTGAACAAACTAATCGAACCCGACTCCTGGTGTAAGCCCATTTATAAAGTGAATTTTATCGTACATTGGCGCATTTCTTTTCTAAAACATTCTGATTCTAGATCAAAAGAGAAGACTTAAATACAAACAAAAATTAAAGTTCACAAACTATGCAAAAAAACAGTGGACTATCATTTTAATCTCTTGTGTCAAAAAGAACCTCTTTTATGTCACTGACATTCTTATTTAAAAGTTTGTGTTCTAATTAATATATTGGAGTTACGTAAATACGACGTTATCATTGATTTCAAATTTTCTCTGACAGGCTGAGGTCTCAGAAATGAATAGAATAGAATAGAATAGAACAGAGCTGGACTAAAGTAATCTTTATGCTTTCTGATAAAGAAAGAAAATCATGCCAAAAATAATCATCTCAGCCTTAACACATCACCTATCTCATATAGGTTCAAGCATTTTTTTCATCAATGCTATCTCTACCCCTTGAACATACTTATATTATACTTAAATACTGTATACTAGGGAATTTGTTTACATGTATATTTACCTACCTTGATTATTGAAATTCCTTGAGGTACAGATGATTTTCTTCATCTCTGTATCCCCAGAACACAGCAAATGGTACAAGTGAAAATCATTTGTGAATTGAGGAGCTATTCCTGTATTTGGAGGATCCTAGGGAAGGAGTGGGGAAGGAAATGAGCTCTGGAATAAAGTTCCTGAGGTAGAGGTGGCCAAAGTATATGTAAATAGTATGAATCATGTATAGACCATCTACTAGTTGTTTATTAGTGGGCTGTTGTAGGGTTTTTTTCTGTTTTTTGAGGAAGATTAGCCTGAGCTAACAGCCACTGCCAATCCTTCTCTTTTTGCTGAGGAAGATTGGCCCTGAGCTAACATCTGGGCCCATCTTCCTCTATTTTGTATGTGGGATGCCACCACAGCATGGCTTGATGAGTGGTTTGTAGGTCCCCACCTGGGATCCAAACCAGTGAACCCTGGGTTGCCGAAGTGGAGCGCAAACTTAACTACTATGCCCCTGGGCTGGCCCAAGCTGTTGTTTCTCTTGGTGCTGTTTTTATCTTTTTGCTTTGTGTCCCTCCCACATTAAGCTTTTTTTCTGGGTTTCCTTTTTCTTTTTTTTTTTACTTTTTTTCAGTTTTTTTGAGGTATAACTGACAAACAAAAATTGTATATATTTAAGGTGTACAACTTGATGTTTTGATATATTATATGTTGTGAAATGATCACCACAACCAAGCTAGTTAACACATCCATCATCTCACATAGTTACCATTTGTGTGTGTGTGTGTATGTGTGTGTGTGTGTGTGTGGTGAAAACACTTAAGATCTACCCTCTTAGGAAATTTCCAGTATAGAATACGGTATTGCTAACTATAGTCACCCTGCTGCCCAGTAGATCTCCAGAACTTACTCATCTTGCACAACTAGAACTTTGTGCCCTTTGATCAACATCTCCTTATTCCCCCAACACTCACTTCCTGGCAACCACCATTCCATTCTGTGCTTCCACAAGTTTAACTCTTTCAGATTCCACATATAATTGAGATCACACAATGTTTGTCTTTCTGTGTCTGGCTTATTTCACCTAGCATAATATCCGCCAGGTTCATCCATATTGTCACAAATGGCAGGATTTCCTTCTTTTCTAAGGCTGAATAATATTCCACTGTGTGTATATATGTGTGTGTGTGTGTGTGTGTGTGTACACCACATTTTCTTTATCTATTCATCTGTTGAGAAACATTTAGATTGTTTCAATATCTTCGCTATTATGAATAAGGCTTCAGTGAACATGAAAGTGTAGATTTCTCTTGGAGATCCTAACTTAATTTCTGTTGAATATATATTCAAAAGTGGAATCAAGACATTACAGTACTGGCATAAAAACAGACATAGAGACCAATGGAACAGAACAGAGGGCCCAGAAATAGATTCACTCATTTACAGTCAACTGATGTTCGATAAGAGTGCCAAAAACAGACAATGAGGAGAGGACAATATCTTCAATAAAGGTGTTGGGAAAACTGGACAGCCACAAGCAGAAGAATAAAATTGGACCCTTATCCCACACCATATACAAAATCACCTCAAAATGGATTAAAGACTTAAATGTAAGGCCCCAAACCATAAAACTACTGGAAGAAAATAGGGAAAAAGCTTCTCAACATTGGTCTTGGCAATGATTTTTTTGATATGACACCAAAAGCACAGGCAACAAAAGCAAAAATAGACAAGTGGGATTACATCATCTAAAACACTTCCGCTCAGCAGAGGAAACAATCAGCAGAGTGAAAAGGCAAACTATGGAATGGGGGAAAATATTCTCAAACCATATATCTGATAAGGAGTTAATATCCGACATATACAAGAAACAAACAATAGCAAAAAAAAAAAAATAACCTGATTTAAAAATGGGCAAAAGATCTGCATAGACGTTTCTCAAAAGAAGCCATACAAATGTCCAACAGGCTCATGAAAAGATGCTCAACTTCACTAATCATCAGGGAAATGCAAATCAAAACCACAAGAAGATATCACCTCACACCTGTCAGAGTAGCTTTTATCAAAAAGACAAGAGACACCAAATGCTGGTGAGGACGTGGAGAAAAGGGAACCCTTGTACACCGTGGGTGAGAAAGTAAATTTGTACAGCTATTATGGAAAACAGTACGGAGGTTCCTCAAAAAATTAAAAATAGAACCACCATATGTTGGTGCTGGGTTTCTTATGACTAGAGACCCATTTATCCCTCAGACTTCTAAATTCAGTTTCGATCTCTCCATCACTGCTGGGAATGTAGCCAGGCTCTGCCCTAGTCCCATTCCATCTGATTCAACCACTTCCCTATGCACACCTATGTGTCAACGTTCATTTACGATGAACAATTCTTATCTCGTAACCAAGTCCTTTTAGCAGAAGTTCCCCACAAAGACCCCAAAGAACTATAAACAGTGGTTTCCATGACCCTCCGTGAGACATTCTTCTCTTCATCGCTCTGATTTTTTAACAACAAGCCAACCTGACAAAATAGGAAACAAACACTGGCAAAGAAGGAGAAAGAAGCCTCTTGTAAAGTCAGACTTCTTGTCCAGGGCTTTGCTACAAACCTCTATTGAGACCTCTTGCTACCTTGGGACTCTCCCCTTTTACAGTTGTAGCCACGAACACAAAGGCGAGACCCTTATAATGGAGGGGCCTCCATTCCACTAGAATTCAGACACAGAAGCTCTTAAGTGAAAGAATCTGGGAATTAAAACCTTGGCCTGTTATACACCCTAAGAATGTAATCTCACCAACCCACATTGCCTCTCTAAGGGCTGGATTCAGTCGGCTTCCCACTTCCACACCTTCTAATTGTGGAATTTCCTTTCATTTTAATTCTCCTCGGGGCCAAACTCTGATTAAACTAACACATATGGTTTCTAGGATTTTGAAACCAAGCTCCCTCGGCAAGAAACTACTTACAGAGTAAACCAGCCAGCCCCTCCAGTTTTCCCTGCCTGAAATAGATGGGGCAGTACCCCGGCAGGCAATTAATTGACCCAGACTCCCTTGCATTTTCTCTTCTGTGCGAAGACAAGACAAAAATTCTCTTCTGGCAACTGCAGGCTGGCTATCAATTTACCACCAGCTCAGCACATTCCAAATTAATGTACTTAGCGTTTTAGAGTGGAGCACCATGTTAATATATTCTATACATCTCAAAGACAGCCTTACTTTCTAAAACTTAATTGAAATGTTCGCTTTTTTAAAGAAAAGGCACTGATTCCTACTTAAGTAAGATTTACAGAAAGTAGCCTTTTCAAGTGGACACCCTCACAGCCCAGAGAAATGGCAGCTGGCAGGAAGGCACAGCAATACGCAGACTTGCACGTTCCTACTAATAACAAAACCACTCACACCAGTGCGTGGCTTCTTTTCCACTCACTTGAACGCACAGCTTTTTCCCCACCTCTGCTTTTCTTCCAGTAAGCTTAGAGCTCAAAAAAACTATTTGTCTTTTGCTCCCTTTCTTATCTCTCTGTCAGTTGGTAGTTTTTGCAAGTCTGAAACTTTTCCACATCCAAGGAAAGAGAAGTAAGGATATTTTAGCTATCTTTTTTTTCCAGCCTAAAAATAGATTATGTTTTCCACTTGTAGGGAGCTATCATTGGCATTTAACATTGTATTAGGTTCGGGTGTACAACACAATGTTTGATGCATGTATATATTGCCAAATGAATACCACAATAAGTTTAGTTAATAGCCATCATCTCACATAGTTGCAAATTTTTTTGTGTGATGAGAAATTTTAAGATCTACTCACTTAGCAAGTTTCAGATATACAACACGGTATTGTTAACGATGGTCATTGGCTGTCTTTTTAACCTTTGTGAATATATGTCACTACATATCCACTCATTGTAGCTGCTGCTATATGCCAGGCACACTTCTAGGCCCTGGGGATATAATAAGGAATAAGAAACACAAAGTCTTAGTTCTCAACTTTCATGGGCTTTCTGTTCCAGAAGATGAGTTCATACAATTATTTTATATAGTCTAAGTTCTATAAAGAAAGTAAATTAGGGAATGTGATGGAGCATGATTGGGGCCACTTTTGTAGATTGGAGCTGATATCTGGATGACAAAATGAGCTAGCAATGACAAGATTGGAAGCAGAACATTCTAGACAGAGAGTATGGCAAGTTCAACAGGCCCTGGGCTCAGGAGTGAGCATGGCCTGGTTGATGAACATGAAGAAGGTCACTGTGGCTGGAGGTTAGTGAGAAAGGTAGAAAGAGATGAGGTGGAAGAGGAGGCAGAAATCAGAATAGGGAAGTCCTTAAAGCCATAACAGAGTTTGGATTTTATTCTATTGGTAGAGGGAAGGCATTTTAAACAACACTTTTGCTGCCGTGTGTGTCACTGACTAATTGCCCCCAAGGAACACAAGGGAGGTTTCAGAAGCATTTAACTGTTTCTCCAAACTGTGTTTTTCCTTTTGTTATGTTAGATGCAATCACCAACCACCCTGATCCAGACTGAGCCCCACCAGAGAGCAGCCCCCCGCGCAGATGTGGAAGCATGTTTTGCAACTGAGCCTGCGTGAGTGAATACCCACTCCCCCCTTTTGAATATTCATTCCCCATCCAAGATTAAAGGCCCCTGCTGTCTCGTGCTCAGGAAGAGCCACGACTCGGAAATGATTCTGCAGGGTCTCCTATTTGCTGCCAACAAACTCTGCTTTGTGTGGCAACTACTTGTGGTGGAGAGTGTGATCATAACTTGCCAGGAAGTGAACCCACTTTGGTTCAGTAACGAGTGGAGAATGGATGATAGAGAGCAACAATGGAAACAGAGAAACCACTGAGAGGCTATTGCAGATGTCCACGTGACGGCAGGGGTGGCTTGTTCAGGTAGAAAATGGAAAGGTGAAGAAAAGCAGACAGATTTAAGGATTTTTTTGGATGTAGAGCTATCGGAACTTACTGATGGATTATACACCATAAGTGAAGCAAAAAAGAAATGAAGTAACGATTTACTTGAGATGACAAGACACGGATTTGACTAAGAATGGATCTGGTTTGAGAAATTAGGAGGAAAAGTCAAGCAGGCATTTGGACATACGGGCGTGGATCTCCATATGGGGGTGGTCAGAAATTTCTGCAAAATCAAGACAGGGCACGATTTCACTGTGGAAGATATCAGCCTAGGGTGACGCATTTATCCATTGATTCAAAATCTAACACCTACTGTGTGCCTGATGCAGCTCCAGGTGACAGGAATATAGGTTTATAAAATGGCCATTCTCTCTCATAAAATTTACCATCAAATGGGAGGGCACAAACAATAACAAAGAAATAAACAAGAA